TTTTGTTCAGAGTTGAAGCTAAACTCACCCGATGACTTTTCAAACTTGTCGTTCTGAAGGACTCTAATGGGTTTATGACGGTTAATAGGCAATTTCGGAAAGTGATTAGAAAGTAAGGCTTGCAAACTTATCATCCTTTAAAAGGCTCTGCCGCGGTTGTGAGCGAGATGGCTAATACCTTCGTCTCCTGGCACTCAAACCTGCAGAAGACCGCTATCCTGCAGTCTTCTTGCAAAGACCAGCCATCCAGGACATATGTGGACAATCTCCTGTCCTCTCCTTATCTGGAGAGGTTCTGAAGAACCGGTCTAATCACTGGTTCTTTGGTCTTTGTTGTGGTCATCAGCTCCGCTTTCATGGAGATGTCTTCAGTTCACTATACCTCCTCCATAACTGCTGAGCAGTACTTTGGATTCCAAAGCAGGCAGAAATGAATGAATGAATGAATGAATGAATGAATGAATGAATGAATGAATGAATGAATACTTGCCTGTAACTCTTCTAAAACAAATGAGTCTTTTTGGAGAATGGAGAACATGTGGCTCGTGTCCTCCAAAGCATCCTTTGTGTCTTAGAATCCAAATTGCTGCACATCCTGGTGCATGAAAAATCTCTTGGCAGTATTAGTGTTTGAACATTTAGGCTGTGTTTGCATAACATAGAAGAATAAGGTGATTGGCTAGTTTGTGGTTCAGTGTGTTATCCAAACTGAGCTGACTAGCTTGTGATTGTATTGCATGAAGCCATGTAGTTGGGTTAATCCAGTAAATCATGGTTTAGTTAACCATGGATTTAGTGTGTTGTGGAAACACAGCCTTACAAAATTCATTTTATATTTAATAGCTTTAATACAAGATAAATACAAATATGTAACATAATTTCAAAGGGGGAGGAGAGATATCAAGATTGCTTGTACCTGCTGTAAAGATCAGAAGTCACTTCTTTAAATATATTTTTCTTCTTGTCTTTTTTCTTTTCCTTTTATTTTATTTTCTGCACTGTATCTTTCCTTTATATTTCTTTTTCCTCTGTTTTTCTTTCTCTCTTTAACTTCATTTTGTATTAGCTTTTATAACTGTTAAAAATCTTTAATAAAAATCATTTTTTAAAAAAGGAAAGAGATATGGAAAAGCAAAGGAACTTTTCCAAAAGATTTCTGAACTCAGAAGGAGGTTTCAACTTCAAATTGGTATACCAAAGGATGCCAATAGACAAATAGTAACTGATTCAAAGAAGATCAAACAAAGATGGAAGGAGTATACTGAAACACCAAACAATAGATATGTCAATATCCAAGATACCTTAGAAGATACTCCCTACTTAGAAGACACTCTAGTACTAGAAGATGAAGTTAGAGAAGTACTCTGGTCATTACTAAGTCGTAAGTTTACAGAAACTGATAGAATGCCCACAGAAATATGGCAAGAA